TTATCTACAAATGTATATGTTTTATTTAAAATTTAAATCCGTTGGAACACCCTTTATAAGGCGAGCATGTTATTAACCGTGTAATGCAAAAAACGCCAAAAGAAACACAAACAGTGCCCAACATTGTGTTAGATTCGGTTTGAAATATTCAAATTTGGCACCTCTTTGATAGAGAAACGGTTAGAATGCGGTTTAGCGCCGGTCGCTCACGCAGACGCCCAAAAAGACACGAAAGACGCGGAGATAGCGTGGGATTCGTAGACCAAGACCCAAAAACATTTTTTCTATTAATTGTATTCTACGTGAGGTAAACCGATTTTTGCGCCGATCGTGAGGTTGTGCAGAACCCGTCGGGGGCGACACTGGCAGGAAAGCAATAAACTTATTGCCCTCTAGATTTCCAGCGAGCGAAAGAGAGAAAGCAACCAAAGTAGCGTTGCTCAGTCATGCTGCCATCGTTCACTTGTTTACAGTTAGCGGCGCGTTCCTCTTTCTTGCACGCGCATTTCGGGGCTCTGCCTTGTTCCCCCCACATAAGCAATCGGTTCCTGGTTCGGTTCTACTGGGAGGGTCCGGAAAGTAATGCAAAAGAGCTAGATGGAGGAGCAAAGACAGTGGATAGTTGGCAATAAATCTAGACAAAACATGTGTTAACAGTTCTAAAGCTAGCAGTAATAATAAAATCAGATCGGCCGACCTGATGAGCAGCCGGGGCGGCTGCCGAAGTGAAGTATCAACTGAGTGAGGCATAAAACAGGAAATGATCATCTGAAGTCTCGGCCGGCACTCCGCTACAACACTTCACTAGTCACTTGCATTGTCCGTCGAAACTAGGAAGTCTCTAAAGAGGTGCAAATAGATTGAAGAAGAAGCAGTTGGTTGCTGTGGTCGTTTGAAGCAGTAAATAAGTACAAGGTGCACGCGAACATCGACTGTCACCCTAGGACTTGCAAAAAGTATGTTTCTTCATCACTATAAAACTTATATACATAAAATGTATGTAAAAGACAGACAACATGGTTGGACTGGCGTGGAAGTTTCAAGATAGAGAGGAAAACACGATCGTGCAACAATTAAGTACTCACTAAAATGGTCTTTACCTTCTAGATTCCATGGCCTGGAATTTTACATAAAACACCATGAATAACGGCCGGTCTATTCGATCTTAAAACGCGCCAGTTACATGGTTTTAGCAATGTGAACACGGCCAATAAGGAAAAATCATCCATATCAAGTGAGTGATTGGTTTGGTGATGGTGTTGATGATGGCCCCTCTGTGTTATGTAACGTCAGGGCATCATTATTGTCACTTGGCCGGGGTGCTGGAAAGCCCCGACCATTATCGGCATTGGAATTTGCGATTTGCAAGTCCTTATTGTACAGTGAATGCGAAAAAATTGGTTTTCGGGCCAGTTAAATTGACATTACATACGAGTCCGTGTCGGTGTGATGTTCTGGTTGTGACCCGGTCCGTCGCAGTCGCCAGATGGCGTGCCGGGCGGCCACCAGGCGGACGAGGTTGTAGCGCGCCACGATGACGAAACCGCGTCGGCACGTGCTCTCTTTGTACTAAACACGCTCTCTGCCACTGGCCCACCATCCGCAACCGGACGGAGCAGGCGCGAGCGTCGCGACGGCGCGGCCCACTGTGACGTGGCGCCTCGAACGGCCACAATAAAGATTTCTCCGATCCCCCGATTCGTTATTATTTTATATGCCCTTTCTTTGCCCAAAGAGAGATTAATCGCCTATACCACATCTATCATTTCATACCCCATCCGGACGCTTCCTTCTACCTAAAGCGCATATACAGGGTGGTCAACTGAGATTTCACTTTTACAAACTTCTTTTTGGGTATTTCGC